AGATAAGATAAGGGATTATCCTTATCTCTTAAAGAGAGTCTAGATCCAAATACAAGATTTGGATTAGGAAATTCTTAATGGGATTAGGAGAACCTCTCTTTAAGGCTATAAATAGAGGAGAAGGGTGAATCCTAGTTCATCCTTCAGTCTTACTGATACAAGAGAGAAGATAGCATACAGTTAGACTGACGCCATCTTCTACTCTTGCCTTTTCCTGCTATTGCCGCCATTACCAGTTCGATCTCCACCTATAGGAGCGATCAAGAAAGGGTTATTGATATCACCTTTTGGCAGAAAAAGTGATCTGAAGTCGTGCTCACTCGCCCTCCATCAGATTCTTGGTGAAGAATGAGGTTCTTGTTGAAGAGCCATCCTACTGATTCTGCTCCACCCTACGTTGTGTCATCTTCAGCGGGAGCAGTCTTTGGTAATCTCCTTGGGCATGAACACCTTCGTTGGGGGTTACTACTACTCCGTATCAGGTATATCCCTTTCCTACCTTTTTGGTTTCAGATCTGGTCTGGTTTAGGCTCAAGATTGATAATTGAAAATGCAGTTTTCTAAAATAGGGAATGTAATTCCCACATGGGAGAGAGATTTTGAAATTTTGCCCAACCTACCTGCAGGGTTTGGCCATCCATATGATGAATCTCTCATCCCTACAAGATAAGCTCTCTTTTAACTCCCGCAATAAAGGAAAGATCCCCCAAAGAAAAAGATTAGAATTACAACTGAACCCAAAATATAGATTCCCTAATCACCCGTTCCTTGACTAACCCATCAGCAAACGAATTAGTAGATCTCTTCACCCAACTGAATTTTATTTCCGTATCTTTAACCAGTCATCTGATTTTTTTTTTTTTTTTTTTTTTTGTAGTTCCATAACCCAACCTTGTCTTCTTTCAACCACCCTATCACTACCTCTGAATCCCCTTTAATTACAAGCCATCTAATGTTCATTTCCTTTGCCCTTTGGGCACTATCTAAGACCGCAGAGATCTCAGCCCAGAGAGAATTACCTACTTCAATTGGGCCTGAGAACAAGGCTGAAACAATCCCATTCTCCAGGTCCAGGTTACTTCTTCCGTGTTTGAATCCATTATGTTTTTGGACAGTTCAACCTATTGCTTCTCTCATCAATTTGCAATTTTCCATTGGTTAATTATCCATAATAATCTATGAATCACATCCTAATAGACATTTTTTTAATAAAAATTACTATATGATCAAAATTTAAGGGTAATAGATGAAACACTTTTGTACATGAGTCACACAAAAAAGCTGACTACATGTTTAGAATAGAAATTGAACCATGAACAGAACAGTGGTTATGTTATTTTGTGGTTCAGAAGAACACAACCACAACCATGTGAAAAACGCTTTACATGGTTTAAAAAGCTACAATTTGGTGTGGTTCTAGAACACAACCATATCTATTTTATGAACCAAGAAAAAAAATACTCTCTTGTCATAGTTACTCATGAATGGTGCAAGGAGAGGCAATGGTAATAATCATAAGTGATAGTAATGTTTTCAAAACTAGACCTGACCAAAAAAACTGGAAACCAGTCACCTGAGCAATTCTATTTCAGCCCAGAACCGCTTTTTGGTCAAAAACCATTGATTTAGTCAACAAACCAATGACCCAGGTGGTCGAATTATGAAACTATCAACCTGAACAACGGTTTTTGGCCATTTTTTACTTTTTTTATTATTTTTTATGTTTTTTTTTTGTCAGAACAGGCCATCCATATGGTTTAAACAATCGGACCGTTCAACCCAGGAACCAGACCCCTGAACGGTTTCCTGTCCGGTTCAGTTTTAAAAACCTTGAGTGATATCCAGGATGCAAAATTTTCAGAACATGAGCCTATTCGTGCTATACTGATATTACATCTCAAGCAGATCTGCTTGCCTGCCGGTTTACTTAGATAACATGGTTTTGGTACTTCAAGGGATAAATAAATAGAAAGGTAAATAACAAATTGTATATTAAACAAAGTAAATATGAACCGTATCTATTCCCCTTCCCAACCCAATTGACGGGCCCGCCGCTCCCACAAGGAGGTTATCTTCTTCTCCTTGAGCAATAATGCCTCAGCTCGCTCTCTGGCCCCTTCACATATCTCCGTTGCAGCATTGCATTTCTCAGCCTCCCTCTGGTACTGAGATCCCAATTTTCTAGCTTCCACAAGGGTGATATTCATGTGATGTGTGTGTTCTTCTGCAACTGCTTCTTGAAGCTTCAACTCCTCTGTCAAAAGGTCAATGAACTGCTTCCCCATCTCCTTGTTGAGATCTGGATCATTTTTCCCACAATCTGTGTGAAATACCATTACATATGTAGAAGTGTCAATATATCATTGCATTAGTGGTAATGAAACTCATAACTAGGCAAAAATATGATTTGGAAAGGCAAGTTACTAAGCACTATCAAAAGATACAGGCTCCAAGCATATGCCCCCACCAAAGTAACTAAGCACCAGCTAGGCATTATGCCTTGCAACATGCCTATGCAAAAACTAATCATACAATGTTGATCACTTCCATCTAAGGTTCTGGGAAGGGTAGACTGGATATAAACAACCTTCAGCGTTTTCTTGTGCAAAGTGACTTCCCTCAGACTCAAAATAAGAAGATTTTTTTTTAACCTCCCTAGTTCAAGGTAACACAGAAATTGAGCACCCTAATTTTTTAGCTCTAAATAACCAAGCAGTGACCCAAAATGGGCACACAATTGTATCATATATATGACAAGGAAAATAATTACTTAGTTGTAATGAATGCCACCTTGGTTGATCACCTAGACAATAGAGCCTAAGATGCCTGGGCAATGCTTTAACTACATTGTTAATAAACATCATCATCATCTGATGCCTTATCCCAACTATATGGGGTCGGCTACATGAATCCTGTTTCGTTAATCCATTCTATTTAAAGCCATATCTGCTGTTAAATTATTAGTGCTTAAATCATTTCTTACTACTTCCACCCATGTCCTTTTTGGTCTACCCCAAGCTCTTCTAGCCCCTTCAAAATATTACTTGTTAATAAACACACCAAAATACCCCATAAAATAAGGTCAACAAAAATGAATTAAGTGATCTCCATGATATGGAGGTTCATTTTTTATTGATTTATATTAGACATGGAAAATAGAACCTTCTTTTTTCTTTTCTAGTATCAAGTTAACAGGTCTTAGCACAAGGCAGTGTAATTAAGGCAGATATGAAAACACCTATGGATTTTGTCCTGGCAAGATGAGTTGATGCCTAGGTGAGAACCACTTATAACCTAAGGGGAAAATGAATAAATTTAAGAGTAATATATATAACCATATATATTATAAATATTATGGAATTTCATATTAATTATTTGCCTAACAGCTAAACTAAGAGATAAGGCAATAGAGAATAAAATTAAAGATAAAGAAAGAAAATAAGTAGCTCAACTTCATTCCTACAGATTGAAGATTAATAAAAGATGATGCAGTACAAAAACAGTATATAGATAGCCTCTAACCTGTGACGGAAAGATTGACGAGTCCTGCAAAGGGATAAAAGACAAAAAATGGAAAATGTTAGTTTCTGAGTTTAAATAACAATGACCAGGGTTTGCAATGAAATTGAACTGAATAAATTTACATCATAGGCAACAAAACAAAGGCATGAAGAAGCTCATAAAGTAAGTAGATAATATGCTCCATGGCCATTTCAATGAACATAAGAGCAACTCATAGAAACAAGTTAGGATGGCAATGTGCCCATTAATGTTGAATAATTTCTGTGGACAAAAAATGAAGGCATAAAAAATATCATAGCTAAGTGCCATGACTTTTCCTATCAAGAATGAAATTAACATCAATTTGGAGAATATTATGAAGACCCTTGGTTTAATGTGATTTAGGCAACATTTGACTAAAGCTAAAACCCAGAGATTATGGCCAGTTAGCCAGAGGAGGCGGTTAATTGGATATGGGGTCAGGATTAAAAAAGAAGTTGATAATCAATTGGATTTTTAAAAATCAAAGGGCTGCTCTTGTGATAATTAAAATGTTAACGAAATATAGGAGGTTATTTTAGGAATTGTAAATTTTTATGAGATGATTAAGGGAAGCATCTTCATTTTTGAATGAATCCTAAGGTTCCCTATTAAATGAATGTCCTTTTCCAGTTAACACCAAAATGTCTCTCCTTGATCTGAGAAAACCATCAAAAATTATCCAAAGGCCTAAGCTAATGCAATGCGGCCAAATGATTTTAGTAAGCTTTTTTCTCTTAATTCACTTGTTAGTCACTTAATTTCAGCTTCCTACACATACACACACAAACTTAATTTCAACTAAAAAGGCAAAAAAAAATGCAGTTGTTAAGCAGTGCCAAATTCAGCCTTAAATGGGATAGTATGGCTATCATGTCAAGACTCATTCCAGCTTGTGATTCAGTTGCAGATAAATGTGCAGTCTGCATATGCATGGTGGTTTTCCATGTCATTCATGGGAACTAGCTAGTAGCAATTCCTAGGAGTCCATCAATTTTCTAATTGATGAAACCAAGTTGACTAACTATGAATTCATTGGTTTTGCCTATTCTTTGGGCAATTCCCTTTTTAGCAGTGTTTTAAATGGCGTGGGAGGCGTACGCCTGGAGGCGCACCTCTAGGCGAGGCACTCCCAAAACGCCCTGAGGCGTATGCTAGAGGCACTGACACCTTTGAGGCATACGCCTCAGGTACAAGAGGCATACGCCTCATGCACTTTTTTCATCAAGTGTGGTAGAGGCATACACCTCATGCGCATCTTATATAAAAAGAAAGAAAAAAGAAAAATAGGGAAAGGAAAGGAAAAGAAAAGAAAGGGAAGGGAAAGAAAAAGAAAGAGAAGAAAACAAGAGAAAAGGAAAGAAAAGGAAAGGGAAGAGAAGAGAAGAGAAGAAAAGATAAGGGGAAAGAAAGTGGTTTGCCCCCTGCCCCTTCGCTTCGACAAGAACCCCCCTTTCAACTAATGTTATGCATCTTTATTCTTCTTAATATAAAAGATTTTTATTAAAATTAAAGAAAAAATGAGATCCCCCCTTCCTCTTCATCCTCCTCCCCTTCCTCCTCCTAACCCCCCCCCCCCCTCTTAAGGAGGCTTATGCCTCCTTGTGTTCGGGAGGCTTATACCTCTTGCGTTCTGAAATACGTCTCACGCCTCTAGGTAGTAGAATGCCTCGCGTCATGCCTCCACATTTTAAAACATTGCTTTTTAGAGATCTCCCATCTCATAATTGAAGGGATGAAATGGTGGTTACACACCTACAATTTGCAAATGATATTATCCTGTTTTGTGAAGGGAAAACAGAACTTGTGAACCTAAAAAGGATAGTTCATAAATTTGAAAGGATCTCCAACCTTAAGATAAATTGGGGCAAGAACTGTGTGGCAGGAGTAAATTTAGGGAGTGAAGAGATGATTCGGCTAGCTGGCCTGTTGGGGTGTTAAGTAGGGGATTGGCCATTACAATATTTGGGACTACCAATGGGAGGAAATTCTAATATAGATAATTTCTGGTATCCAGTGATTGAGAGATTTACAAAGAGACTTGCAATTTGGAAGAGAAACTACATTTTTTTGGGAGGTAGGATAACCCTAATAAAGTCAAAAAAAAATGACAACCTTGATAAATTAATATACTGGATATAGGGTTTCCATGATCCTGAAGTCAACACTTTCTCCACAATCTTTTTTTCATCTGGCAAGAAATCACTGAAGCTGGGACTTGATTCCATACTTGGAACAGCTGTCATAGGTTGTAGGTGCCTCCATGTCTGGTGGGGTTACACTCTTCTTATCTTCAAAAAAGAAAAATTGTAATAAATTATAGGTTCCTTCATGTCTAGTGGACTTACACTCTTCTTATCTTAACCAAAAATCATGATAAATTATTTATTATGTCTACCTCAAGTGCATCAGATGTTTGCTTGTATTCAAAAGCTTTCATTGGGCTAACCACACAGACTGGTGTTAGTGGTCCTATAAAACATTCATCCAGCAACCTAAAACCATTTTGAGGCCCTATTATCAGTTTCTCCAATACATGATTATCTCCAACCTTGGAACGCAATGAATTTTAAAATGTTTAGATTATATTCTTCTCAAGGAAGTAATTTTGGTTTCACATTTAATCAAATGGTTTGCTAACATGTGTGTGTCAATTATAAACATCTGCCACATTAATGTCATACTAGAATAGGGATGGTAACATGGTAACCACATTTACAAGGCCTCATTCTGAGATGATATTGATGCTAACTGCTAAGACAACAATATATTCTATCACCACATTGCATGTGTGGTTGCTGATGAGATTAAGTTTTCAAACATCTCCCTCCCTTCTTCATGCCCATATTTTATTGTTTCTGGTCATCTTAGTGGCCTACTCAACTTATCAGTCATGGTCACCCAATATGAGATTTTCCCGTTCTTTAGTCGCATTCAACAAATCTCCTACTTTCCTACACTTTTTGTCAGTGTCATGAACTCATGATCAAAATAGCGAAGATGAAGAAAATCCAAGACTCAAGCTATTAAGTTCCTTAAGGCTCCGTTTGGTTTGTGGGAAGATTTGGGTGGGATGGGAAAAGATGGGATGGGATGGGAAAGTGTACAAATTTACACTTCCATTGTTCGGTTTTATATATGGGAAAATAATGGTAAAAGCACTGTGACGAGCTACTTCTTCGCTAGATTCATGTAAGGTGAAGAAGAGAGCTCCATGACTACATTGGCGATCAGAGAGAGAGAGAGAGAGGGAAAATGAGTGAATCAGAAACAATGGATGATCGGAGAAACTAGTCAAAACCAGTGAAACGGTTGCCAGAGACGGTAGGAATGATGGAGTATAGCTGTTGTGGAGTGCTCTGTTTCACCAAGAGGAAGACGAACAGTAGTTCACCAGCGGAAAGCGAATACGATGAACAATGCCGCTGGTCATCATTGGAAAGCAAACAGTGCCGCCGGAGACAGTAGTTCGCTGGCAAAAAGCGAAGACGATGAACGGAGAGGTACTAGAGGGCAAATGGTCCTAGTCACCGCCACTGGTATTTCCTGTGTTCGTTGTTGAGAAGATGATGAACAGTGCTTTTTTTTGGTGAAAAACAAAAGACGAAAGAAGAAGAAAGAGAAGAATAGAGGAGAGAGGGAGGAAGGGAGTGGCTGAGAGGGGGTGTCACCGCCGCTGCTCTGCTTCTAGGTTCAAACGGGGAAGGGAAGGTAGCATATTGCCGATGGTAACGGGGAAGGCACTGGTTCTCTCCCTCCTCTGTTCGTCGTCGATGGTAACAGTGGTTTCTCAAATTTTTCCACCGGGGTCGCACGGTTTTGGTGCAACCCCAAATCCACGATTTTGGGATCTGACATCCCACATTTTTCTCATCCCATCCCTCTATTTCCCTCAAAACAAATGAGAGAAAAAGGAATATTTTTGGAATATTCCCTTTTCTCATCCCCATCCCACAAACCAAACGGAGCCTAAGCAACATCACTTGCAATGAAGGAAAAAAGAGGGGTTTTACAAGGCTTTTTTTTCTTTTTGTTGGAATGATAGAGAAAACAGGATGTCCTCAAAAAATAAAGACCCAAACCCAAGTACAAGAGTTATCTAAGGTCCATCCTAAACCTAACACCAATCAAGCTCCCATACAGAAAAAGAAATCAATCAAAATCCATGGCTATCCAATGGAAGAGTTGGATCTCAGTAAAATAAGATGTCCAATTCTTTAATAGGTCTACCAGCACAGGATTGAGATGATCTTGGAATCAAATTGAAAAAGATGTTTGTTTAGGGGTGCCAAAAATAATAGCCTTGAGAATAATAAGATGTAGCATACTAGCATCCACTATCAGTTCTGACTTTCTCTTAACTAGCCAGCAATCACTTCAGAATCCCCTTCCACCTCAAAGCATGAAGCTTTTTCAAGAGATTGCAAGACCCTCAACTGATGAAGTAGACCATCCTCTTTCACAAGAAATTTGTTACTTCCATTCATGCTTTAATAGCCTTCACAAACTCGGAGAACAACATGACCTCCTGTTACAACACTTTCATCTCATTTGATGTTATTTCTTTTTTCAACATTTTTTTTGAGTATTTCTTTTTTCTTGTTCTTTTTTTTTCCTTTTCTTTTTCAACAATTTACATTACATTTTCTTGTGGAAATGGTTTCTTGAAGCACCCTATGTGTCTGCCTACTACTTGACTATATGGACATGACCATGCTTCATCAAGATGGAGAGGATGGACGCATGGAGAAAGAGAATAAAATGCAAATGTCATTACCCAATGATGATCCCAACTACCCAGGGTATTGAGAGGGGTTTCCAAGAATATGAAAGGAAGAAAAGGAAAAGAATGAGATAGCCAACTCTCTCATTTAGGGTTTCCAAAATTACTCTTCAGTAGATCCCCCATTTGGTTGATATGTTGTACCCCTCTCCCTTGGCACATTCATTAATCTGCTCTGTCACTAAAGTGAAGTTCATGTGAAAGTTAGAACCAAGATAGCATCTAATAACTTCTTTTCAAGACACAACACCCGTTGAAGTCTCCCATTACTTCAACCATCAAAATCTCAATCTCGTTGATGACTCCTAGATATGAGATGGCAAAAGATCTCAACTTCTGCACCATGTCAGAGCCATCACAATGTCAATACTCAGTTACAGTGGTGCAGCAAACAGTTTTATCAATGCAGTGAGGCAATGACCAGTTGTTTTGGCCTCTGAGTCAATGTGATAACTTGATAAATTCAAGATATTGATGCAATCTCATAAATAAATTAACATAAACTATAACCATGCAATAATCAGTTACTAGTCACTCAACCTAGTTGATGCTTAGTCATCTTAGGCAACCACATCATGAGAGTATCAACCAACTAGTTAGTGACACAACTGGTCTAGCCCTCAACTGACTAGTCAATACTTTGACAACATTGTCCACAAATGTTCAAAAGATGGCACCTACTATTATCTGAAAAATGTGATAGACTATTCCGCTGTTCTTTTTCTGATTTCCTCAGTACAACCTAGTCCAGGCGAGCTCCACATCCTTGTTCACAAGGCATGCATAGTGATACAAGGATGATGAAGTGTACTTTCAGCTACCTCTAAAGGGTCCAGATTTTTTGTTTTTTCTTTTTTTTAAAAGTTAGGTTGTTTTCAATAATCAAAACAGGGGGGAAGGATGTACATGAGAAGATGTACAAAAAAGGGCCATGGAAACACACACCACACACACACAAGCCCAAGCTAAAAGATAGACATTGTATTTGCACTATACAGAGAGTCCCTCCCCAACCCAGATTTAGCTAAGCCATCAGCAACCTGATTTAGCTCCCTTGGAATCCATCTGAAACCACAGTTAATAAGAGATGAGATCTCTAGGAGAATGTGAGAGAGATTCCAAGGGCCTATACCCAGATTCTTGACCCAACTTATAGCAATCCTGAATGTCCTGCCACTACTAGAGATCTAAATTGAAGTTTAGCAATCCTAAGCCCCTCCAGGAGGGCACGCATCTCATCTTCAGCAGCATTTGAAACTGAAGTAGGACCACTGTAAACCCAAAGGTCCCCATCTGATCTGAGGATAATGCCCCCAAGCGGCTGCAGTAGGATCAACTTGACTTCTTCTAAAGCATCCATCAAATTGCAGAAGTCACTATCTGGTCTAGGGAGGAGAGGTGGACAGTGGACTGGAAAAAGGAATAACAGGAGAGGACACATGTGCACAAATTTATCCATTGGCAAAGAGAGCACATTGTGAAAATCATATGTCCCTACTATTATTAACACCAATCAGCAACGATACAAGAGAACCTATATGAGGGCTTCTTTGGGATGTCATATTAGTTCATGTGATTATCAACATTTTTTTTCTAATTTGTATTACTAACCTAAGATGCTAAAATGCTTGGAAGTGGCAATGAAGATATGGATGCAAGAATTGGGATTCCCCCTACATTTCTCTCAAGGAAATGGATAAGGACTAATGGCATCCATTTAATATGCTCATTCCATGCTTTTATTTTTAATTTTTCAAGTTCAGTTATCACTTCTTAATAATTATATCATGCCAAATAGAATATTAGAAAAATTATCTGTATCATGTTTTGTTAAGATACATTTCTATATATTTTAGAAGTGCTCATACTATGGTCAAAAAGCATCATGTCATCTGATCAAGCAGGTGAAGTAAGCATGTGGAGACATTTGGTTATCATACTTGCCAACAATACCTCATTCACTATCACACTTTAGTTCTACATTTTGAGGTCCCAAAAGCCTAGAAGAAGGAACACATTGCATTAGGTTGGCAGGCTGCTGAAAATTTTAGCCAAACCCTTCTTTATCAATCCTGGTTCTGTTTTGAACGCATGCTAAGGCTTTTTTTTTTTTTGAGCAAAGGCATTATTACCTTGAGAATTCTTGACCTTGGGCAATGTGGAATTGCAGAATACAACTAGTGTTTCCAACCCAAATAGCTTGGTTAAGGATTTGACAATGATGATGGTCATGATGGCATGCATCACTAACAATGTCCATTGTTATTGACCATGAGAAAACAAATAGACAGAAAACATACTGGTCTATAACAGCCAATAAGTGGAACTAATCTCATCTGAGTGGCATTTTAGGACATAACTGACTAGATCCTGTACTGTAAAGTTTCGGTAGAGAATATTTTAGACTGCCCTTTCTTTGGGTTTCCCATGGAGTGGAAGGCCCTTGTCTAAAGCAATTACATTCACTTACCTCGCTGTACCAACTATAGGAACTAGCATTCATTAAACCTCTGACATGTAGCAGAACAAAACCTTCTAAGAATTACTCTGGTAAAGGTCCATCCAGTCCTACTCATTAAAACCTAAAAGATTCGTTACTATTACAACTTCCCATATCTTTAAAGCCTAACTTGAAGATCGGATCATTTAAGTGGCAACAAAAACCATGGCCCCCAATGACATCAGATCTAGAGATACTTCAGATAGCTCTATGTTATAGAAATGCAAATACTTAGTTCAATTGTATTTCACTGTCAAATGAACACGAAAACGTTGAAAATGTACATGAAGGATGAAGGATATAGAGATTAAAGACAAGCAAGTGGAAATTGGAAAATTTAAACTTGATTATTTACAGTATCTCTCCAATTCAACATGTTCGTACAGAAAGATAAAGCAAAACAAACAGAAAAAAAAAAAGAATAAATAGTAACCAAGTAAACCCCTGAAAATGATTCCAAATCTTACTCTGCCGCTAATATAGCCATTTCTAAACTGGATTTCTTTCATGAAAAATGCAGCAAAACCAGAGATCCAATACCAAAATCAACAAAACTAGAAAACAAAAACTGAATTGGGCGCCCCTTCGATTTCAACCAATCATCACATAACCTCACAAAATGAATGATAAACAAAGACCCAGAACCAAAAAAAAAAAAAGTTAAAAAAACAACAGAGCCAACAAACCAAATCTAAAGCAAAAAGAAAGCTTACCAGGAGCTATTTTGATGAGAGAAAGCGGAGGAGGACAATCACAGGTGCAAGGACTGCAAGAAGGTCCATTTTTGCCCAAATGAAGACCCTTCTTAAACTTCCAATACAAAGCAGGCCCAGATACAAAAAGAGCCGAAGCTACTGCAAACACCACCAAACAGAACCTCAAACATGGCCCCGACCGACGAGGACCGCCCGACATCTCTCTCTCAGTCACAGTCCCTCCCTTCTTCAGATCTGATAACTAATGTAAACCACCTTTTATGAGCTCTAACACACTTTCCCACTCTGGTTAAAAGTAGAACTTTTACAAATTTTACTTGCTTGTAAATGTAAACCGCGGTAATTTTCTGCAAAGCCTATCAGCCCATGTCGGCATGTCTATGTGAGCGACAAAACAAGCAACTGTGTTGATTGTTGAAATCAATGTTGTTTATTTCTGAGGTCAAGATCTGCAACATGGATACGGTAGATGATATGGATTAAATTTTCTAAAGAACACAAAAATATATCTGGTTTTTTTATTTAAGGTTCTAGTTTGAAATCCCAATTAAGGACTAGTTGGCTTTTTTCTGGTTAAATTACAAACCCCCCCTGTGCTATTGGGTCGGTGACAATTATCGCCATACAAAGGCGATAAAACTCCTGAACTTTTCACTTTTGCGACAAAATATTTCCCTCCGTCACATAACTTCTTAAAAGGGCTTTCTTTTCATAAAAATTAACGAAGTTACGATTATTGACAAAATCAGAGACGTTTTAAAAAAAATTGCAAAAACAGTGAACCGTACAAAAATCTTATTAATTTTTTCTATATTGCCCCTTATTAAAATCTCACCCATCAGAATTGGGTTCTGCTCCTCGGACAGGGCGCACATCTCACCATGCATTTAGAATATTTTCCGTGAATAAACACAAGTATGGGAGATGTTCCTAATGCATGGTGGGATATGCCTGTGAGGCGCCCTATGTGAGGAGCAGATCCGATCTCCACCCATCAAAGCATTAGGCCAAATTTTATTTTCTTTCTTTCATTATTACGTGTCTATCTCTCTTTCCTTGTATTTCTCTCTTCTCAATTTGTTAGGGCATTCCTTTATTTCTTTATCTTTTTTTTTTTTGTTTTTTTCTTGTATATTGAAATAAAGTTGGAGGCTTCCATCTTTGCAAAAAACATGGATCGATCTCTTTACAGTGGGGAGAAAGGATTTGTGTAGTCGACCACAAATATCTAGAATTGTGGTTGGCTTGAGTCTAAAGTTAGTTTTTGTCAATTATTTAAGTAAAATCTCTCACAAAATTCCCTCTACACTTCCTAGAGAGTAAAAAACCTAAGAGTTCATGACTATCTCACAACTTTGTGTGTTGTTGTAGCCATGGAGACTGCTAAAATGGTAAAATATGTTTTGCCTCGTGAGTTCGTCTTGTGAAGACGTATGTTGCTCATCTCAAACAATTGGGGAAGATGATTGCAACTATAATTGATGACTCAGAATTGCAAATATTATTTTATCACCTATGTAATAGACTATCCAGTATAGTGGAGGCTAGATCATCTAAGGTTTTGAGAATCACACAAACCTTATGGTTTATTGGGTTCTAGGTGCATTTGATGGTATAATTACAACTAAATCATCTAAGGGATAAATGTTTGCAACTATAAATGATGTTCCAAAATTGTAAGCAATTATCCAGTCTTTTTAATCTCAGATGGTTTTCAAGTCTGTAGTACACTATCTGGAATTCCCCATACCAGATGGTCTACATGTGCACCTATGAGAATCATATACAACCATGTGGTCTGTTTGGTTTTAAAGAAATTTGAATGTGTTAAGTCACTTGTGTAATTGATGATTATAACTACAATTGATGACTCAAAATTGTAAGCAACCATCTGGCCTGTTTAATGTCGGATGGTTTCTAAAGTCTGTAAAATGCCATTCGGTCTCCACTATACTGGATGGTCTTTACACTTGTAAGAATCATATAAAACCTTGTGATCTATTGGGTGGTTTCTAAGCTTGTAAAACACCATCTGGTCTATTTGTTATCAGATGATGACTAAATCTATTAAACACCATCTGATCTATTATATACCAAATTGTCTAGGCACTTATGAGAATCATATAAAACTTTGTGGTCTATTGGGTTTTAGATGCATTCGAGGATGTAAATACTATGAGATCACCTGGTTGGTCAATGTTTGCTATTATCTAATAATTGAACATTTTGAAATGATGATCTAGGCTTCCCTGTTGACTTCCTTGTCTCTAGGTTTCCTCGTCTTAGATGCAATGACTTGATACGTTCTGTTTATTTAATTATTTGTTAATTTATTAGTAAAAACAAATCCATTCGTATGATAAAAATCTTTTATCATTCAATTTAATACTACTACAAGTATCTATAGGACTTTTCTTTGAGAAAAATTTAGGCTTACAAATGTATAGTCTTGGCTAAAATTGGACTAATTTTGGATAAAAGAATGAATTCTTTATTTTTCTTTTGATTTTGAGGAATAGTAGTGAAGGCGTTTGGCAAGCCTGATTCAGCCCACACTCTCTAAATCATTCCCTACCCCGACGTCCCTCTCGAAATTTACTTCAATGGTGGAGGTTTCATCCTCTTTAACACTACAACCCTATCGTTCCATCATTGATGTGCTCGCGTGACCTCTAGTTCGATGGCTTGGGGAAAGTGTTGCTAGCTTGGTGAAATGGAGCAGTGGAGTTGGGTGATTTAGTGGTATTTATAGCCTTAAATTTATCTAAAAGCCAATATATAAACCGGTTCTACATGATTCTCAAGTATGTATTGATCATTCGATATTTGATAGACATTGATGGTTTTTAATAGACTGTCACACCATCCAATACAAAAATGATCAAATGGTTTCTTCAACTTTCAAATTACCAAAATAAGTGGTAAACATCTATCACCTGAGTGATATAGTGGTACTTGTAACCTCAAATTCATCTAAAAATTAATAAACCACATACTTTTATATGATTATCAAGTATGTACAAACCATTTGGTATTTACCGGACCGGATGGTTTCTTGTACTTCCATAAAGTTGTTAACACTTATCATTCAAATGTTATTATGACTTTTAGAGAATCAAGGACATATAAGCATTTTTATTAACAATCTCTCATACAAGCATTAAAATTGCAAATATCATTAATATAGAAAAGATCTAAATATATTTTTCATTAGTATTACAAATTGTCGAGGGGTTAGACTTCTAACCCATTCGCTGATACATTAGAGTTTGCATATTCTTAACAACTTGCACTAACACTACAAATTCTAATTTAATAGAAAATTCAACTTGGACATCTTGTATGAAAGGCCACATTTCCTGTTAAGCATCCATTGAACTACATTTTTTGCTCAACATCCACATGTACTTTAAAAATTCAATTCGGGGTCAATTGGTTTTTCTTCTTGGGTTTCCTCTTCAGTCAATCTCTTTTTGTGTATATTACCAACAAGTTGGAGTAAAGGATTTATTAGTGGAGTTAACTCATCCAACATGGCTTTGGTTGCTTTTCTTTCTCAACTGGATGTGAAGTAGTAGGATTAGCAACACGATTATGAACGTTTCTCTTCTTATGTATTGAATGTACTAGAATGTCTGATGGAGGCTTTACATCATTAGACTCCTTATTGTTTATTATGGACGCACCTTCTAATGAAGCATTAATAATTAGTGCTTTATGAACATTTTGCCTACGCTCATATTGTAAATTAGCAACATGGAGTAGTGTATAGGAAGTAATTAATCCATATTACTATATAAGATATTAAATTAAAGTAACTATTTTTTTTTCTACTACCATGTCATGGTATGGATGAGACATACCATGTATGTCTCATCCATTAAATCCAAGTAAGCCATAACACCTTAAAGCAATAGATAAAGTGGCAAGTAAGGATAAGAAGTTTCACATGAAAAGGAGTTATATGAATAGTGTAGTGGTTTGGTTATAAAACTAACCAAAACTTCCATGGTTGAGCTCCAGCTCAGAATCCAAAATGAGATCATAACCATGGAAAGTAACTATAAGGACTCTATCTATACATTATCTATACATGTATATAAATCAGTAAACATCAATTTGATGATCTTTTTTTTTTGAGAAAAGGTAAGGTAATTTCATTAAAGGAGAGATAAAAGTACAAGAGGACTCTCCCAAAAACTAGAAATGGTTGCAACCTGCTGTAGCAATCCAATATGGGAATTCTTCAGGCTCAGTTTCTTTCGAGAAAAAACAGAAATGATTGCAAGAATTTCTTAAATATGAAGGAACATGCTTTCAACTTCTCCTAAAACCGATTTTGAGGTGATGTTATCGGGTCTTAGGTACTAATTTCCCTAAGACCCCTGCCTCTCTACCTCTATTATCAACCAAGAAGAAATTGCAAACAATGGTTCTCCAACATTCTAGAACCTCAAGTAACCCAGAAAGACTAAAGAAGACTTACCTTTCATATGTACCTTAACGGGAGTTTTCCAGCAGCTAGGGATGAAACAACACGAAGTTTATATGGATTCTTGAGCTAGGGAGTGTTTCTAGTTGCAACAACCTCCGCTTGAAGGTGGAGGAGGCGAGTTTAGAATCTGATGTTCAGAGTACCTCTGAATTTTGGGTGAACAAGAGGTAGTACATGGTCCGGGAGAAAACTCTCTCCCCTCTCTCTTTCTTTCTAAGAGCCTCTTTTGGGTTTCCTTCCACTCCCTTTCTCTGTTTTTTTCCTCGAGCTCAAATTAGATCAGTATTTATAGAGAATGGGAGGGGGTCAAGTCTGAATTCGCTCAACTAGAATGCCTGAGATTCCACAAAGATTTTTTCCACAAATAGGCAAAGATTTTTTAAAGAAATAGGTATCCAATTAAGCTTTCCTATTTGGTGAAACATTTTCTTCAATTTGGGGGTGGTTTTCATAGGTTTTGTGCATCCAATGGGAGATTGGGGCATGCCAGACGTTGCAATCTCGTATTTGGGGTTGTCACTGTCAGTGGCAAAAAATGTAAATTTGAAGAACTTTTAAATGTGATTTTGTCTTTTCTTAGTTTTAAGTGGGAGTTTATTTGGCATTTTGAGCTTTTTAAGCCTATTAGGCATTGTTTCATTGGTCCATGTGTTTTAATGAGTCAAGAATGGGTCTGACATCAGCCATCATCACCCTTTTAAGGCTTCGGGTTGGGCCAAATGACGTGGCAATTTAATCTGGTGCGTCAAAATGACATCTTTCTAGTTTAATGGTCAAACGAATGAGTCTGATCATGAAATTTGGTGTCCAGGGGTTTTTTTTTTGTCTTTGAACACAGCGGTGAGGTTTTACTGGACAAATAGGTTCAGGATGATTGAGATCTATGGCTGACAAGTTGGGGTCAATGAGATTTACCAAAATAGAATATTTGTTTGATGAAGGGTTAAACGGAGAAATTTTTGGATGAAATTTGGTGGATTGGCACTTTTTTAACGTCCTGAATCTAATGGAAGTGATGGATCTTTTATAAGAGGTGTAGATTCATTGTTTTAGTTCAAATCATGGTCTTAGCTTATGGTTTTCCAATCAACGAGAGGGCACGGAATGGAATCTTACTTTTTCAACAGTCAAACAGAGGTGTTTGGTCATGAAATTTGAGGTGCTAGGGTTTTTTAGGTCTCTGAATACAATGGTAAGGTCTGATTTGTCATGTGAAGTTAGGATGATGGATGGTAAGCTCTAATTAATGAAATTTGTTGAAATAGGATCTTGGCTTGATGGGAGGTCAAATGGGTGAATTTTGAACTACAATTTGGTGGATAGGCATGGATTGAGGGGAGGAGTCAAGTGGATGGTTCTGATTTGAAAAGATATGGTCAATCCTGGTAATCATTCAGAGCCATCGAAATGGGATCTTAATGTTTTTGCAATTGATCATCGTAGATTTGTGGTGGGGGTTCACAAGTTGATTGTTTTCCAATGATCTCGAGGTGCTTGATATGTTGGATTTGATTTTGGGTAGTTGGAGTTTGAATATCGCATGAATATGGGTCGTTAGAAAGGAAATGGTGGATCTTTGTAGTTTAGTCATGAAAATTGAAGTATAACTAAGTTTTAGTTTCTCAAGTCTAGGGGTGATGTCGAATCAAGGTTCTTGTTTGTCCTGTGGATTGTGCCAAAGGAGGGTATTTCGAGTTCTAGAAAGTCTCAAGTTGATTTGGTTGTGTTTCTAAGTTTTTGGAGTCTAAAAGGAGGTACAAAGAGATAGGGTGAAGGGACTGAGCAAAAAAAAAACCCCGCACTACCTCTCGTCGACTTACTTATCCACCTAACTCCCCCCTGCCCCCAAATGCTTCTTATTATTCCCGCATTCGCCCTTTCTAGTTTAGATTCTTGAAAAATCACCACCTCTTAGTTCCATCTTTTCAACAAGTCACATATCACCAATCTCCTTCTCCCCGATCCAACCCCTCACATTCCATGACAAGATTTTTAGTTCCGTAAATACAAACACATAAACCCCCCCTTTCCCTCTTCCCCCTCCCCTTGTTGTTCCCTCCCCTTTCCCTGCATTTTCATTTAGACCCCACGACAGTCTCACTATCTCCCTGTTTTTCTTAAGAGGGCCTCCCTTTTTTTTTGCAATTGATTTTCATTTCTAAAGCAAGAATCTTTTCTCTATTTCTTAAGTACTTAATAGTTTCTTCTTCCATTCCCATTATTGAAACCCCCAAAAAAAACTTCCCAACCCCAATAATTTTGATTTCACCCACGAAGAAGTCAAGCCTGTCTCCTTTTCATTCCTTTCCCCTCCTCTCCCACCACCGCCTCCTTCCCCAACTTCTTTTGTCCTTCCAGATTCATATTGAAATTACATACTTGAGAATCAAAATTTGCAACCGAAAGCTATGACGGGAATGCGTTAGTCTCTCTATCTTCAACAATCGCCAACGAGGTTATCTCCATTGGTTCAGACATTTCTAAATTCAAATCTTTTTTATCCACCACCGACCCAATCTAGTTGCTTTCCTATTGCGAGATTTCCAGAGAGGGGATTGCACCGCCGGCTGGCCGTTGATTTGGGCTTCTCTATGAACTTCCCTTCAGCCTTGCTTCCACCACTTCTAAACTCTAGGTCAAAACTCTCCCCTCTGTGTTTGAAAACTGGATCAGTGTGATTTATCTAGTTCGGGCCTTGCAATGCTGAGGTTTCCCTTCCATGAGTTCCTACAAGAAGCTAGGTTTGCATCAAGTGGGTTCGATTTCCTCTTAGGCCACCTCAACCGTCTTGACTTGGTCTGCTATCCCCACTAGACAGAGCCCCAAATTTTTCTCGACTTTCCTCCCTAATCCCAGGCCCCATGTTTAATAGTGGGTCCCCCTCATTTTGACCAAAGTTGACTGGCCCCTACTTTAGTTCTTTTAAGCATTCCAAAATTGTTTCTTTCAAGTTTTTCGAAAGGGCTGCCCAGGTTTGAGAGGAGTTTGAAATTTGAATCTCGTTTTCGAACTTCCCATTAGTCGTTTGATCACAAGTACGAACGGTTGAAGATTGGTGCCCCTTTAGATTTGCCTGCCTCCTAATCCTCGGTACGGCCGAGCCCATCTTTGATACGGGTTTCTGAATTTCAACTTCCCCTCTCACCATCTTCCTTCTCTCCGGCGATTTCCCCGTCAACTCAACTTCATCATGTCTGCCTCCTCCCTCGGCCTCCTTGGAACCTGAATTTACTTACCTCTCTTTCTCCGAAACCCTATTTCTTCTCTCCAGATTCTCCACCTCCATAAGAGGTCGTCTTTCTTGCCAAATCGAGAAGAGAGAGTCACCCGCTTTTATCTTTACCTTCTCTAGAATCTCACTACCCGTTTTCACCTTGATTCGAACCCATTCACAGGTTTTCAGTTCCTCCACCAAGTCATCCATCCCCAAATATCCTCCACAGATATTCCCTATCCCCTCGATAACGCTCGGACACCATAACTACAGCAGCAAACCTGCCTTGATCCATATAAACTTTTGTTGATGAAGTTCTCCATATTTCTCCACTCTTTCACAGTTCGCCACTTCCGACCACCAGTCAATCACTAGTCGAGATTGCCCAAATCTCCAGGGGCCGTTACGCACTACCCAATTTGCCTCAACTGCAGACGTGAAGATAAACAGGTACCAGTCCCCTATTAGACTTTTAATCCTCACCCCTGTGAAATCCCCCTAGTTCGTAAGCGCCCAAAGTTCTATGATCTATGATAAACTATTCATGCATAGTGTCAATAAAAAAAAAAAAAAAAAGAATCCAGGTATTAGTAGATCTTTGCAAATTTTTGGTTGGCTTTTCTTGATTTATTGGAGAAGGGAGTGGATAAATTTTGAAACACTCATGTTAATGAAATAAAACAAGAATTTAAAGAAATTTGTTTTCTATATCAATAAAATGATTCCCATTATTTTAGCTAATTTTATTAGGAGAAAATTGAGGTATTTTTGAGTCGGTTAGGGTTTAAGAGAAAATGATGAGGAAAAGAAAAGAAAGCCCAGGTAGGTATTTTAGTAATTTAACTCATTCTGTCACCTAACTTAATGGCCAATGGGTATTTTGTCTCAAAGTGAAAATTTAGTGGGATCTTTCTCACAATGAAAATTGAGGGGGTATTTGCCATTGACCCCATAATACAAGGAATTCTTTGTAATTTACCCATTTAGACAACTAATTGAATCATAAATTGTTAAAACATCCCTGAAGTTTGGTAAGTGCAATCAACTCTCCTAAATTTTTTGACACGGTTGCAAATAGACCCCCTTTGAGGCACAAAAATGTCCGTAGTTACTTTTGATTTATTTTCTCTGTTAGAATCCTTCCAATAGAAACCTTCCAATCTCTTCCCAACTTGTTTTATTTTCTAAATTTGTCTTCCACATCAATCACTCAAAGGTAAAACTACAACTTTAAACTCTCATTTTTTGTTATTCATAAAATTTTTATTGTTTTTACCATAAAAACCAACCTTAATACTAATTATATGGATATTTTGGATATTTTTATACTTGTAACTGTGTTAGAAAGTACAGAGGAGGTGATTGTAATTATTAAACTTTAAAAATGGTTCACCCTCAAGCTATTTTCACTATACTGGGGATTTTTTACAAGGAGACCCTATGTCTCCTAGCTTGTTTATTATAATTGAAGAAGTGCTCAACGAGGTTTGAAATTTACATATGATAATAGTCATGTGCCTTACTTCTCCATGCCCAGAAGCTGTGTTCCTATTTCTCATAGCCTATCTGCTGATGATATAGTGATTGATGCTTATCCCTATTTATGAAAAGGCTTCAGGCCAGATTATTAACAAGAAGAAATCTTCTTTTATAGTTACAGTATGAAAAGGCTTCAGGGTAAGTATGATCAAACAAGTTAAGCGTTTCACCCAAAAACAGCTGTTTTTTTCACTTACTTGGGAGTCCCCATTGGTAAAAGGTGTATGTGGATTAAAGACTGAGACTTTGGTTTCAAAAGATTCAAAATAAAATTAAAGGTTGGAAAGTTAAAAATGCTATTAAATGGGGAAAGATCGTTCTTATAAAACATGTACTTCAACTGAATTCATGTATCTTTGCTGCTATCTGAGCCCCCATCCGATTTGCAATTTTTGCATATGGCACATATCTGTCAGGCTGCTACCTTGTATAAATAAGGCTGCAAACAGGTCAGATGAAATCGGAGTGGGATCAGGGATCTGCTCACAACAAAACTAGTACCAAAATGATCTTTATACACACATCTCCCCAGTCCCGGTGGAATTTAGCCAATTCAGTCCCATCTGAATGCCAAATTTAGGGGTTTCACGGTTTCAGTCTCAGATCAGATTTAATTCCCATCAGATTTTCAGATTCGGTCCAAGTCAACTATACCATCTTTTAAGACCTAGAAAAATATGAATAAATTAAGCCTATCCTGAGTTATTCATATAGAGTAATTTTTTTAATAGCTATATAGAGTATATTTGTACAAATGTTTGTATGCATGCACCTTTAAATTGAATTTCATGGCCCGTGTTAATAATAAATTCCATGTCATTGTCACAAATGCTATTATTAACTTATTGTCCTCATATCCCACTACACTAGTTTAAGCCTCCAATTTTTGTCATTTAGGCTTAGTTTGGAAATAGTACAATATATATATATATATATGTATGTACAGTACAAATGCATGCAAAATAATACAAAATTCAAGGTTTTGCACTCTGCGTACTCCTTCCAAACTGAGCCTTAGTAGTAAGAGTTGGGATTGGAGCACATCCCATTTCCTCTTTTACAGAAGTGGCAATCCCAGTCCCAGCAAACAGAACTGAAGTGAGGAGATAAAGAGTTGGCACATCCCATTTCCTAGCACCAGACAGGCTTATACCATAACTCTAATATTTTTTATATATCCCCATGCCATGGATTATGCAAAATAATCTACAGATCAGATGGCATTTGGAAGATTATGAATTCAACGAACCAGATCAACCAAGGTTTTCCTTCTTGGGAACCTCTGTGGTAATCTCAAACACATGGCATCCTCAATCTCAATAGGTAAATGTGTAGCTACGAAGACAATCCCACCCTTTTTCCGATGCTCTGCAATTATGTATTCCAACAGTCTCACCCCTTCAACGTCCAATGCAACTGATGGCTCATCCAGCAACCAAATCGGCCTGTCTATAGCCAGTAACCTCGCAAGTTGAAGCCTTTTTCGCTGCCCCATGGAGAGCATCCTTGCCTTTTCGTTAGCCAATCGGCCCAACCCCATTAGCTCTAAAGCACCCATGGCTTTCCCGCACTTGCCTTCCAAGACTTCAAACCACTGAACGTTGTCCAGCACTGTAAGCCTGTCTTTGATGGCATCTTTGAGGGATAGCCAGTTGAGCTGGAGCTTGTACTGGTGGAAGACACCTGATTGGGTAACATCATGGCCATTCCAAAGGATCTCTCCTGCTGACGGTCGAGAGAACCCTGCTAACATGCGCAGGAAGGTTGACTTGCCTGATCCATTGGTGCCTGTGAGCACAAGTGCACCTCCATCGTGGATGGAGACGTTGATGTTGCGGAGGATGGTTTGGGCATTTCGCATGCAGGAGACATTGTTAAGAAGGATTCGTGGGAGTGGAGGCCTGCGAAGAGACATTCCTCCTTTCCCTCAAAAGTGAAATTTAGAGATCATTCAGGTTATTGAGAAAATAGTCCTGCGAAAATACAGAAATATGTAAATCATTATTAAAAACAAGATTTCTTTTTTTGATAAATGAGTTTAAATTTTATTAAATCTGAAGAAGCTGACAATTTGGAGAGAATTCTACAAATATTGTTGATATATTACAAATTTTATGAGTAATCACCCCAATACCTTTGCCACATCATACAACAAATAAGTAGAGAAGCTGAATGGCACATTTTTAAGTTTGAAATTAGTTCAACAATACTCCTTCAACTCCTAAACTAAACTTGCTGCATTGAATTTCTAACTGCTTAGCTAATTTTAACTTCATCAAAACCAAAATAAACTAAAGTTGTAAGTTGTAATAAACGAAATAAATATTTCTAGGGACCAACTTAATAAATATTTCTAGGAACCATCAAAACATTAAACCTAAGTTACATGCAAATTCATCCTCATCCTCATCATCCAAACCTTATCCCAACTATATGGAATCAGCTACATGAATAGTGTTACAAAACAGGATCCATGATCATGAGAGTTTGGCAAAAATTTTAGTGCTGACTACCAACCCAACGCAACCCTCCTTTATTTGGGCTTAGGATTGGCAGAGTAAAACAAGCTCACACTGGCAGAACTTACTTGCAAATTCTTGCTAAGCCAAAAACAAAATTGCTAATCAAAAAATCAAACTCATAATGATGGATGCCGTAATGGAAATCTTGGCCACTCTGGAATTAGTGGAATATTTAGAAACAACACTGCAAGGTACAGATAATAGATTCAGAACCTATAAGAGATGATGATGACATTAAGGTAGAGATGTCCTCACTTCTTCAGGGAAAAAAATCAATCTTACTCTTATCTATTTTCATTAGGAAATTGAAGGAGAGACCTAGGTGGTGGTTGGATAGCAAAGTTGTATTGCTACATGAACATGAAGTTAGGGAGCCCAGAGATCCTTAACCCAAAGGATGATTACCTGGTTCAGATGGATTAGATTATCTGTCAATGATTTAGCAGATTCACTTGCACAAGCAGAGGCAAACCAAGATGCATTGTACCAAGGCTCTACCTTTGCTGCATAGTTTGTGTAAGTGAAAAACTGAGAATAGATGGGCCCATTGGCTCAGTCTTTACTCCTGAAAAAGGAGCATCTTGTACAACTGCCACTACCGACCCTAAGAGAGTGGGTTATGTATTGGAGGGTGTGAAGATATATCTTGATGTACATTATTAGTATAGCCCTTGTTGTACAGTATAGTATTCTTATTATTTTATTTGTTCTTTTTATCTTTCAGCCCTATAAGGGCATTCTTGTAACTGTACATATCTTTCATATATTTTAATATAAAAGAGGCTCTTTGGGGTGGGGGTCGACTATTCTTGACACCCCTAAATCTGTTTCTCTTGTTCTTAGTTCGGTTCACATGGTATCAAAGCAGGTTGCTCCTTGATTCATTTCTTTTTTATCCATTTCTTTTTTCTTGATCCATTGAGAACTTTTATCACTGCCAACTGGTTCTGGACTTATTGATCTTTCCAGGAACCATTTTTCTGTATTCTGTGCATCTAGCAAGAGAGATTTCATTGGATCTCTCTCGTTTGACATCCGTTTGCAGTAAGATTTGAAAGGAATTGTTGCCTAGCCCTCCTCAGCATATTCTGAAATTTTTATTGAGATCCATTGAGAACTTTTATCTCTTCTGGGTGGCTGCGTCCAGACTTTTCTTTTCTGGACTGTGTATCCAGTTTTCTTCTTTTGCTAGATCTTGGACAATCTCTGGTGACAGTAAGGGTTTCTTTTCTCAGTTTTTTGACTCTCTTGGATTCGATTACTGCTTATCTGGCTTGCTTTGATCAGTTTTTTTACTTCAGTCTAGTTCTTTCAAACTATTGTCGAACCCTATTTTTGCTGTTTTTTTGTAGTAATGGCTTCAGACAGAGGGGATATTATTCCTGTGAAGATGAATGGACAGAATTATGAGATGTGGAAGTTCCATTTTGATTTTTATGTTGAAGGGAAAGGTTTGGAAGGATACCTGAATGGGACCCTAGGATTTGCCCCTAACGGAAGAAGCCTTAAGTAGGACATAGGCCAAGAAGAGATGGAACACTCAAGACACTCCGCAATATCCTCAATCTCCCCATCCTCCAAGTTTATACCCGCTATGCAACTCTTTTCCAAATTTACTTTCAGATTAGAAATCCTTTCAAATCCTTAGATTAGCTCCTTTAGGTTTGCTACCTTCTCACTAAAACTCCTTCACAAAAGATCATTAGGTCATCTGCAAACTGAAGGTGGTTGACTGGGATTTGGTGTCTCCCTATTCTCCAACCCCTAACGGTATCTTCTCTATCGGCCTTGGTAATAATGATCCTACTAATCACATCGGCTACTAAGGTAAAAAGGAAGGGTGAGAGTGGATCCCCTTGCCTGACACCCCTGCAAGATAGAAAAAAGTCCCTCACCACATCATTTACCAATATATAATGACAGGTACTGATATACCCAGATATCCAGCTACACCACTTGTTCCCCAATCCATATTTTCTCATCACCTCTAACAAAAACTCTCAGTCCACCAAGTCATAGGCCTTTTCAAGATCCAATTTACAAATAAAACCTTTTTGCCTAGACCTTTTCATTTCCTCCACACACTCATTCGCAATTAGGATCCAATCTGTTATTTGCTGCCCTTGAATGAAGGCCCCCTAAGTTTCACTAATGATAGAAGGGAGAACTGTTTTGATCCTCAAAGAAAGCACTTTGGCAAGAATTTTATAGATGTTTGGCACAAGACTAATAGGCCTATAATCTTTTGGATGGTTGGCATCAATCTTCTTAGGTATCAAGGCCAAAAAAGTGGCATTGATTCCCGGGCTTATTACATGATTGTCTACAAATTCCTTAAAGACTTCAACTAAATCCTCTTTCAGCACTTCCCAGCAATCTTGATAAAAACCCACTGTAAATCCATTTGGACCTAGAGCCTTGGATATATCCATTAGAAAGACAGCTTTCTTAATCTCTTCTTCCTCAAACTTCCTTTCCAACCACCTTGCCATTCCGTCCTCATTCTTGGCCATTCCACCCCTCCCACGACTGCTCTCTCACCCAGAGGTCTTCTATAGATCGATTTAAAGTGCTCCACAAATTTTCTGGCTATGTTATCCTGGTTGGTATCACCTCCTCTTCTATCTCTAGCTTGATCACAAAATTCATTCTTCGTCTCCCATTGGCCAAGTCATGGAAAAATCTAGTGTTCCCATCACCTTAACGACTTGTGTCTAGATTTTTGTCTCCAACTGATTTCTTCCTTTAGTAACACCTCTTCAAAATCCTTTTTCACTTGTCTCCTTAACATTCTGTCATCCTCAGCCAAACCATTTTGGGATTCCTTTACATCCAAGCTTTCTATCCAAGAGATTAGGCTCATTTTTTGCTCCTCAATTCTGCCAAATTGATCTCTATTCCACTCTTTTATTTTGGCTCTCAACCTCTTTCACTTCTAATGAAACTTGACCCCCTTCCATCTTACCCCCTTCWCCTCCTCACCCCACCATTCCTTCACTTTTTTCACAAAATCTAGATGGGTAAGCCACATACTTTCAAATCTAAAAGGTTTGGGTCCAGTAGAAAAAGACTCTGCGTCTATCTGGATAGGATAGTGATAAGAGGTGACCCTAGGTAATGCTCTAGCAACCAAGTTATCCCAACTATTCTCCCAGGCTAAGTTAAATAAAAATCTGTCCTACTTCGAACACAAAGGGGTTTCCTGAAGGTTGGACCAATAATAACTAGTTTGCAACAGAGGTATTTCCTTCAACTCACAATCTTTAACAAAACAATTAAATTTCCTCGTGCTTGTTGTGATTACCTATTGGGGATTACTGGTTTCTTCAGAGAATCTAATGACATTAAAATCTCCACCCAAGTACCAAGGGCCATCCCATAACCCCTTGATTGCATATAATTCCTCCCACATCTCATTTTTCTCTCTACAGGAGTTAGGGCCATAAACATTGGTTAGAACCCATACACACCCATCCTCTACATTCTTAAGCTTAATGGAAACGAAGAGTTTGCCTATCAATTCTTCCACTACTTCCACCACGTCCTCCCTCCACAGTGTTACAATCCCCCCCCCCCCGAGGCTCCCCAACAAGGAGACGAGGTCCAACCTACACCTCTAGACCTCCAAACTCTTAACCCATCTCCCATCTAATTCCATCAATTTGGATTCTTGTAACAGCACAATGTCGGATTTTCCCTTCGAAGTAGATCTTACCCTTCTCTTTCTTGCACTCCCTAGACCTCTTACATTCTAACTAATAATTTTCATCGAGACAAAAATAGCAAAACACCCGTGAAGAAGCCTTTGTCTCCTTATTTTAGGCCCTTCCCTCTTATCCCCTCTACCACTAAATTCTAAATCTCCCTCAATGTCTAAGATTAGCCTTTCCACTTCAGATCTTTTTTTCTTTATTCCTTTCCCCGGGCCCCCCCCCCTTCCTGATACAATAAGCATCATCTTCCTTCTCTCCATCCTTTCCAGCCAATGTCTGAAATAGATCTTTACCATGCCCGCACTCATTTTGGCTACAACAGCTCTCTATGACTCCTCCCTTTTTTTTAGTTCCTCCAGCTCTGTACAAATCAAATTCCAAATTTTGTCTACCTCCCCCTTACTACTTCCTTCCACCACCCTCTCTCCTTCCACTATCACCCTCTCTCTTCCATCAAATCCTCCTGGACAGGAAGTTGGAATTTCTGCTATAGGCATAGCACACAAGTCAGTGCCAAAAAAAGAAATGACACCCATACCTGGTAGGACAGGGGTAGGACTAGGATCACTGGATTTGAGTTGCTGACAAACTTTGTTTGGTTTTAAGGCCTTTCCCCTTTTTGGACAATGTTGTGAAGTAGAAATAGTGAAAGTATCACTTCCGAATGACCTACCCACTTGGAATTCCTTTCTTTGTGTTTTCGACACAAGATTATCCACACCCACCCTCACAGCAGAT